AAAAAACCGAAAGAGTTACGGATGCCGGAAATCTGGAACGAAAACAGAAATTGCTGGAACTCAGCAGGTCTGGCAGCATCTGTGAAGAGAAATTACAGTTTTATGCAGAAGATGGGGTGGGGGTGGGGGTAAGGAGTAAACGATAGGTGGAGATAGAGCCCAAAGAGAGAGGATAACTAAAAACAGTAATTGCTGGAAAAGCTCAGCAGGTCTGGCAGCATCTGTGGAGAGAAACCACAGTTAATATTTTAGGTCAAGTGACCCTTCCTCCAAACTCGGAGAAAGAAGAACAGTTGGTCAGACGAAGGAATGGGTAAAGGTCAGTCTGGGGGAATTAATAGCTACTAATGGGGACCACTAGTCAAACACCACAAGTTTTTTTTTATTCATTAACAGGATGAGGGCATCGCTGGCGAGGCAGCATTTATTGCCCATCCCTAAGTGCCCAGAGGGCAGTTCAGAGTCAACCACATTGCTGTGGGTCTGGAGTCACATGTAGGTCAGACCAGGTAAAGATGGCAGTTTCCTTCCCTAAAGGATTTCTGATGAAGGGTCTAGGCCCGAAACGTCAGCCTTCCTGCTCCTATGATGCTGCTTGGCCTGCTGTGTTCATCCATCTCTACACCTTGTTATCTCATTAGTGAACCAGATGGGTTTTTCCCCTGACAATCGGCAATGGATTCACAGTCATCATTAGACTCTTAATTCCAGATATTTAATTGAATTCAAATTCCACCATCTGCCTTGGCGGGATTCGAACCAGGTCCCCAGAATGTTATCTGGGTCTCTGGATTAACAGTCCAGCGATAATATCACTAGGCCATCGCCTCCCCCAAAATGACGGCAAAATTAATGACAGTGAATAAGAGAAAGGATTGCAATAGAAATCCTGTTGGAGAGAGGAGCAGAATATCTTCAAGGTGAGCATGCCTGGAAAAGACATGGCAGGGAGTTAAACACAAATCTGAAAGAACTACGATGCTGGAAATCAGAAATGAAAACAGAATTTGCCGGAAAATCTCAGCATCTGTGGAGAAATCTCTTGGCATAGCAAGTGCCTATCTAAACACTTCTTCAATGTGAAAAGGGTTTCTGCCTCTCCCACCCTTACAGGCAGTGAGTTCCAAATTCCCAATGCTCTCTGGGTGAAAAAGATTTTCCTCACACCCTTCTAAACCTTCAGTCTCTTTCCTTAAATCTATTCCCCTATCCGTCAAGGGGGGCAGTCTCATCCTGTCAGTGCCCCTCAGTTTTCTCCATCTCAACCATGTCCGGTCTCAGTCTCCTCTGCTCTAAGGAAAACAATCCCAGTCTGCGCAATCTCTCTCCATAACTGAAACTCTCCAGCTCAGGCATCATCCTGGTAAATCTCCTCTACACTCTCTCCAGTGCTATCACATCCCTCCAACAATGTGGATTCCAGACCTGCATACGATATTCTTGCTGTGGCCTAACCAACATTTTACACAATTTCAGCAATACCTCCCCGCTCCTAAACCCCAGGCCTCAGCTAATAAAGGTAAATACCCATTTGCCTTCTTAACCACTTTATCCATCAGTCCTAATACTTTAGGGGACCAGTGTACACGCACACCAAGGTCCCTCTGACCCTTGGAGATAGCAAGAACTGCTGATGCTGGAGTCAGAGTCGATAGAGTGTGGAGCTGGAGGAACACAGCAGGCCAGGCAGCATCAGAGGAGGAGCAGGAGAGTTGATGTTTCGGGTCAGGACCCTTCATCAGGACTAGACCAAAACATTGACTTTCCTGCTCCTCTGATGCTGCCTGACCTGCTGTGTTCCTCCAGCTCCACACTGTGTTGACTCCCTCTGAACCTCAGTGCTTCCCAGGATCTTACTGTTCATCATGTACTGCCATGCCATGTTTGTCCTGTCCAACTGTATCACCTTTACACCAGGAACTTTCTGTCTGCAGCTACACAATGTGAAGAATCTCTTTCACACAATGGGCTGATTGTCTGAATTTAAAAACAATGACAAAGAGCCTCTAACGCAGAGGTCTGTTTGAATCAGTGTTTAATGTCTGTGTCACTGAGGTCAGTTCCAAACACTGAAAGGGTCAATGTTGAGGGACAGGGTTCCCAGATCCTTCTAGAAACTGTGACAATTAAAGACAGTGATAGTAGGAACTGCCGATGCTGGAGAATCTGAGATAACAAGGTGTAGAGCTGGATGAACACAGCAGGCCAAGCAGCATCAGAGGAGCAGGAAGGCTGACGTTTCCGGTCTAGACCCTTCTTCAGAAATGGGGGAGGGGAAGGGGATTCTGAAATAAATAGGGAGAGAGAGGGAGGTGGATAGAAGATGGATAAATGAGAAGATAGGTGGAGAGGAGACAGACAGGTCGAAGAGGCGGGGATGGAGCCAGTAAAGGTGAGTGTAGGTGGGGAGTTAGGGAGGAGATAGGTCAGTCCAGGGAGGATGGACAGGTCAAGGGGGTGGGATGAGGTTAGTAGGTAGGAGATGGAGGTGCGGCTTGAGGTGGGAGGAGGGGATAGGTGGGAGGAATTGTTAGGGAGGCGGGGACAAGGACGAGCTGGGCTTGTTTTGGGATGCGGTAGGGGGAGGGGAGATTTTGAAGCTTGTGAAATCCACATTGATACCATTGTGCTGCAGGGTTCCCAAGCGAAATATGAAGTGCTGTTCCTGCAGCTTTCGGGTGGCATTGTTGTGGCACTGCAGGAGGCCCAGGATGGACATGTCGTCCAAGGAGTGAGAGGGGCAGTTGAAATGGTTCGCGATTGGGAGGTGCAGTTGTTTAGTGTGAACCGAGCGTAGGTGTTCTGCAAAGCGGTCCCCAAGCCTCCGATTGGTTTCCCCGATGTAGAGGAGGCCACAACAGGAAATTAAAGACAGCGACAGATTCACTGGGAGCCTGATACTGCAGCATTGGAGCAGAATGGGGGCAGGGGCTACCTGAGGGATCACTGGGTCCAGTTAATCAGATACAGATCCCTGACCAACTGAGTCTATAGACCTGATGGTAGACAGTCAGGGAGCCAGAGCCATATGCCTCCCGTTGGAGTTTGCTCAGTGTCCTGGCTCCCTGTACAAAGCTGGGCCTGTTTCTCACTGGGTTAAATCTCTAGCAACTGCCCTCCAATGCTGTGGGATGTCCCCTTTAGGTGTGAAATGAGGACCTGCCTTGTGTGCTGGGGTCTACAGAGGCTCCATGACCAGTGTATATGCAGCCACTGTGTTAGCTTCAGTAGATCCAGACCAGTCCCACTACCCAGGGTCACTCGGCAGAAACAACCATCAGGGGAACACAGGGCCACGGGTCAGGGACTTCAGCAGGAACTCACCCTGGGATTGATTCTCTGGGTCACTCCTTCACAGTTTGCTTGGGCTGACAAGTGGCAAGTAACATGAATGCCACACAAATGCTGGACGATGACCATCTTAAATAACAACCATCCTTTGATATTCAATCATTGGATTCCCCACTAACAATATCCTGGGGGTTACCATTGACCTGAAACTTAACTGGATCACCACATAAACACAGTGGTTACAAGAACAGGTCAGAGTTTAGGAATACTGCACCTCCTGACTCCCCAGAACCTGTCCATTATCCACAATGCACAAGTCAGGAGTGTGATGGAATACTCCCCACTTGCCTGGATGAGTGCAGTCCCAACAACACTCAAGAAGCTCTGACACCATCCAGGACAAAGCAGCCCACTTGCTTGGCACCACATCCACAAGCTCCACCCCCGACGCTCAGTAGCAGCAGTGTGTACTATCTACAAGATGCATTAAAGCAATTCACCAAATATCCTCAGACAGCACCTTCCAAACCCGCAACCACTTCCATCTAGAAAGACAAGGGCAGCAGATGCATAGGAACACCACCCCCTCCAAATTCCCCTCCAAGCCACTCACCACCCTGACTTGGAAATGTATTACTGTCCCTTCAGTGCTGCTGGGTCAGAATCCTGGAATTCCCTCCCTAAGGGCAGCATGCTGTCCATGTCCCGCACAGCCTATCAACCTTCCTTTGTGGCTGAGAGAGGCTTTTGAAAGATCCTGCTTAAACTGGCTGTCAATCCTCACAACACACTTCAAATCTAACCTATCCCCTACCAAGATGCAACCGGTTTGTCCAAAAAAAAAAGGATTCAAAGAAAAATCAGGAAGCTCCATGTAATAAGAGCAAAAAACCTGCAGATACTGGAAATCTGAATAAAAACTGAAAGTTCGGGAGAAGCTCAGCAGGTTTGACAGCATCTGTGGGGAAAAGAAACAGAGTTAACGTTTCGGGTCCAATGTCAATCTTCTCCAGAACTGAAATATATTGGAAAATGACGGTTTCAGAATCCCTAAAGTGTGGAAACAGGCCCTTCGGCCCAACAAGTCCACACTGACCCTCAGAGCATCCCACCCAGACCCATCCCCATAATCTACACATCCCTGTACACTATGAGCAATTTAGCATGGCCAATCCACCTAACCTGCACATCTTTGGACTGTGGGAGGAAACCGGACCACCCGGAGGAAACCCACGCAGACACAGGGAGAATGTGCAAACTCCACACAGACAGTCACCCAAGGGTGGGATTGAACCCGAGTCCCTGGCACTGTGAGGCAGCAGTGCTAACCACCGTGCCACCCCTTTGCACTTCTAAAGGAGGAGGGAGGAGTGAGGGGAGCTGAGGTCAAGTACAAAAGACAAAGGGTTTGTTAATTGGGGGTGTAACAGAAATTCTCAAATGGGTGCAACTGAAGGTGATGAAGGTGAAAATGGGGACTGTCTACTGAGAGTAGAGTAAACAAGACAGAATCAGACAGTGGGGGAAGACGGGGAAGAATACCAGAACTTTTTACAATGTTGTGCTCTTGAACACCTCAATAGTTCCTGCACGTGATCTGGGTGATAGCAGATGAATGACGTCGTCTTTAGCAAACTCTAGAGGTTCTGACAGTTCACATTAAACACAAGTGATAATCTTTAGCATCTGTGAAAATTTGAATTACATACGTGAGCCAGAAATCTTCCAGTCTTTACATTCTGTAACTGTTGTCTCACTCTCCAACTTTATCTTAATGAGTCCACTGTGGGCTTTGTTGTCAAAGGTGATCTGTATTCGGGAAAGTCAAGGTTCCTCATTATTAACAACAAATGTTCCAGAACGTTCCTCAACACTAACCTGGTGGCAAACCTCATCTACTTCTATTCGGTCCAAATCAGTTCAACAAAACTCTCAAATGATTATCCAGTCAGCCCCTCCTTCGCTGCCTGGGAAAAGGGGGCAGGACTGAGGTGGCGGGGGTGAGGGGGAGTGGTTTGGGCTGTGAGATGAGGGGGGAGGGGGAGGGGGGTGGGGTAAGGGGTCCGGTGAGGGGACAAGGTGGGGAGAGACACAAAGGGAGAAAGGGGACACTCCTGGTCCAATCACTCCCTGGTTTGGTTTCTCTTCCTGGCTGTTTTTTGATGCTTAATTTGCTCACTCCCCTTTGGATTTGTGTCTCATTTCATCCTCTGCTTATTCTGAAATCGTTAGTCTCCTGGTTCTGAGCTGCCAGAAGTTGTCCCAACATTTAGTACGGTCCTTCTCCAGGCCCCGCCTTCCCCAGTTTTGTGAAAAACCCTTTTTAATTACAAAACCTGGGTCTCTTTCCTGGGTTAACTTGTAAGGGGCTTCATTCCAATCAGACATATGTTCCACCCACTGAACCAATAACAATGTATGTCTTTCACCAGTCGCCATTTCCTTTTCCAATATTTACCAGCTAAAAGCTACACCTTGGTCATCACTCACTCACATCTCAATCACTCACCATCCTGACTTGGAAATATAATCGCCACTTCTTCACTGTCCCTGGTCAAAATCCTGGAATTCCCTCCCTAAGGGCATTGTGGGTCGACTCACAGCAGGAGGACTGCAGCGGTTCAAGAAGGCAGCTCCCCGCCACCTTCTCAAGGGGCAACTAGGGACGGGCAATATATACCAGACCCAGCCAGTGATGCCCACATCCCGTGAGTGAATAAGTACAAAGTCAAGAGGAGAAGCAGTGATAGATGGTGAATTACTCACAGTGATTGCAAATTCATAGCAGTCCGGTAATTCATTGTTACGAATAGTTTGTAGGTCTATCCCCTTCACTTTAAATGTGATTTCTATAAGTATCAACCTTAATAAAACCAAAGAAATAATAGTTCAGGACACAAACATAACGGAATTTTTTTGTAGTTACAAATGCAGACACCACACAGATACCTGACACAACATTACTGTGCTGTATCCGAATATAAACCTAACTCCACTGTCTAGAAACATTAGAGTACATTCTAGACTCCCCTCCCCCTACCACATCCCAAAACCAGTCCAGCTCGTCCCCGCCTCCCTAACCTGTTCTTCCTCCCACCTATCCCCTCCTCCCACCTCAAGCCGCACCTCCATCTCCTACCGACTAACCTCATCCTGCCCCCTTGACCTGTCCGTCCTCCCTGGACTGACCTATCCCCTCCCTAAATCCCCACCTACACTCACCTTTACTGGCTCCATCCCCGCCTCTTCGACCTGTCTGTTTCCTCTCCACCTATCCTCTCCTCTATCCATCTTCTTTCCGCATCCCCCTCTCTCCCTATTTATTTCAGAACCCCCTTCCCCTCCCCCTTTTCTGATGAAAGGTCTAGGCCTGAAACGTCAGCCTTTCTGCTCCTATGATGCTGCTTGGCCTGCTGTGTTCATCCAGCCCTGCACCTTGTTGTCTCAGAGTACATTCTACTAGCATTACAGAGCACATAACCTGCACCTTACTGATAAAGTTACCTGTAAAATTCAATGTCAAAAAATGACGAATTGCTGATTTTCCATTCTCTAAAGGTGTCCCCTGTTGCAGAAGCTGATTCTATATATAGGCATTCTGGAAAGAAAAAACACAGATTAGTTTCGTAAGTACTAGGAGCCATTCCTAGCTATACATAGGTACGCCATTCAGCCCTTCGAGTCTGCTCCACCCTTTATTATGATCATGGCCTCCATTCCACTTTCCTACCCACTCCCTAGAACCCTTCAACCCATTACTAATTAAAAATCTGTCTACCTCCTCCTTAAATTCACACAATGTCCCAGCACCCACCAGATTCATGGGGGAGTGAATTCCACAGATCCATAACCATTTGAGAGAAGTGACTTCTCCACATCTGTTTTAAATCTGCCACCCCTTATCCTAAAACAAGGTCTTTTCCTTCTAGGACATTTCACTTCACAATTGTATGGAAACAAGGTCACAATTCTCCCCAATCAGATCCACTGACTGAACAATGAACCATTCCCAACTCCTGGGAAAGTTGACCTCATTCCTTTCTTCAACGCAAGTGGTAAAATTAGCCAATGAAATTGAATCCATTTAGTAACCACACCTTCTGAAGGGGTAACTGAGCATTTTGGTCTACACACAGGCTTTTTTTCCCCCAATTCATCTGTGGGATGTGGGTGTCTCTGCCTTGGGCCAGCATTTCTTGCCCCGTCCCGAGTTGCCCTTGAGAAGTTGGGAGTGAGCTGCTTTCTTGAACCGCTGCAGTCCATGTGCTGTAGGTTTACCCACAATGCTATTAAGGAGGAAATTGTGAACAAACTGTAAAGTCCAGCTTCATACATTCACACACTCTCAGTCTGACCAGGGCTCACTCGATAAAGATTTAGAGCAGGTACGGAGACAAACTTCCCTCTCACTAGCTCTTAACACCAAACTGACATGGTGATGTTGGGAATGACATTAAACAGGGAATTAGAGATGCATGTGGTAAAGGAACATCTGTAATTTTGGGTGACTTTAATTTGCATATAAATTGGGCAAATGAAATTATTCACAATACTGTAGAGGAGAAATTCCTAGAGTGGATACGAAATGGTTTTCTCGATTGATACACTAAGGAACCAACTAGAGGATTAGATAGGGTGGACAGTGGGAGCCTTTTTCCTCGGATGGTGATGGCTAGCATGAGGGGACATAGCTTTAAATTGAGGGGTGATAGATATAGGACAGATGTCAGAGGTAGGTTCTTTACTCAGAGGGTAGTAAGGGTGTGGAATGCCCTCCCTGCAAAAGTAGTAGACTCGCCGACTTTAAGGGCATTTAAATGGTCATTGGATAAACATATGGATGATAATGGAATAGTTTAGGTTAGATAGGCTTCAGATTGGTTTCACAGGTCGGCGCAACATCGAGGGCCGAAGGGCCTGTACTGCGCTGTAATGTTCTATATTCTTTGTTCTATAACTAGAGAACAGGCCATCCTGGACTAGGTATTATACAATGAGAAAGGAATAATTGGTAATGTATTTGTGACAGATGGAGAGTAAGGTAATTAATCCTGCGACTAGGGTCCTAAATTTATTTCAGGGAAACTACGATGGTATGAGGCATGAGTTGGCTATGAAAAATTGAGAAATGTTACTAACAAGAAGATAGGCAAAAGCAACATTCAAAAAGCAAATGGATGAACAAAAATTCTTTAATTCTGTTTGGCATAAGAGTGAAGAGAACAGTGGCTAAACCATGGCTCAGAGGTCGTGGGAGGGGCAGCACAATGGCTCAGTGGTTAGCACTGCTGCCTCACAGCGCCAGGGACCTGGGTTCGATTCCAGCCTCGGGTGTCTGTCTGTGTGGAGTTTGCACATTCTCCCCGTGTCTGCGTGGGTTTCCTCCGGGTGCTCCGGTTTCCTCCCACAGTCCAAAGATGTGCAGGTTAGGTGGATTGGCCGTGCTAAATTGCCCATAGTGTTCAAGGGATGCCTAGATTAGGGGGGTGGGTCTGGGTGGGATGCTCTGAGGGTTGGTGTGGACTTGTTGGGCCGAAGGGCCTGTTTCCACAGTGTAGGGATTCTAAGATTCAGAAGCGAAGCTAGAGAGGGCATTAGGTGCAAGGAAAAAAATAACAGACCTGAGAATTGGGAACAGTTCAGAAGTCAGCAAAGGATTACCAGGGGATTGATTATAAAGGAGAAAATAGAATATGAGAGTAAACTTAGAGAACACAAGAATTGAACGTGAAAGCTTCTATAAGTATGTAAAGTGAAAAAGATTGGTGACAACTAATTTTAGTCAGAATGGGGCAATTTAGAACGGGAACAAAGAAATGGCTGATGAACTAAATTCAGACTTTGCTTCTGCCTTCACAAAAGGAGGACATGAATAACATACCAGAAATGGTCAAAAATCACACAACACCAAGTTATAGAATTCTGTATTTATACCCTCTCTCTCTCACTATGCCTGAGGAAGGAGCTGAGCTCTGGAAGTTCGTGTTTTCAAATAAAACCTGTTAGACTGTAACCTGGTGTTGTGTGATTTTTGACCATGTCCCCTTAAGTCCAACACCACGTCATGGCTACCAGAAATGATGGGAGCACAGGGTTTAGTAAGAGTGAGGAACTGAAGTAAATCTGTATTAGTAGGAAAATGGTCACAGAATCATACAGTTGTACAGCACAGAAACAGACTCTTCAGTCCAAATCGTTCATGCCGACCAGATATCCTAAATTAATCAAGTCCCATTTGCCAGCATTTGGCCCATATCCCTCTAAACCCTTCCTATTCATATACCCTTCCAGTTGCTTTTTAAATGTTGTAATTGTACCAGCCTCCACCATTTCCTCTGGCAGCTCGTTCCACATAAGCACCACCCTCTGTGTGAAAACGTTGCTCCTTAGGTCCATTTTAAATCTTTCCCCTCTAACCTTAAACCTATGCCGTCTGGTTTTAGACTCTCCTCCCACCCCCCATCCCACCTTGAGGAAAAGACCTTGTCTACTCACCCTCTCCATGCCCCTCATGATTTTATAAACCTCTATAAAGGTCACCCCTCAGTCTCTGACACTCCAGGGAAAATAGCCCCAGCCCATGCACTGCAAGGTCTCTTTGTTTAGCAAAGCTCCCCAGGACCTTACCATTAAGTGCATAAGTCCTGCCCTGATTTGCCTTTCCAAAATGCAGCACCTCACATTTATCCAAATTAAACTCCATCTTCCACTCCACGGCCCATTGGCTCATCTGATCAAGATCCCGTTGTACTCTGTGCTGTGCATTACACCTCTAAGTTTTGTGTCATCTGCAAACTTACTAACCATACCTCCCATATTTACATACAAACCATCTATATAAATGATGAAAAGCAGTGGACCTAGCACAATCCTTCCAGCACAGCGTTAGTCACATCCCTCCCGTCTGAAAAGAAACCCTCCCCCACCACCCTCTGTCTACCTTTACCTGTCAGAGCCAGTTCTGTACCCAAATGGCTAGTGGTCCCTGTATTCTAAGTGATCTAATCTTGCTAACCAGTCTATATGAGGAACCTTGTCAAACGCCTTACTGAAGTCCATACAGACCACATTCTCTGCTCGGCCCTCATCAATCCTCTTTGTTACTTCTTCAAAAAACTCAATCAAGTTAATGAGACATGATTTCCCACAGACAAAGCCATGTTGACTATCCCTAATCAATCCTTGTCTTTCCAAATACATGTAAACGCTGCCCTTCAGGATTCACATCCAACAACCTGCACACCATTGATGCCAGGCTCACCAGTCTGTAGTTCCCTGGCCTTTCCTTACCACCTTTCTTAAATAGTGGCACTGCTTTAGCTAACCTCCAGTCTTCCGGCACCTCACCTGCAGCTATCGATGATACAAATATCTCAGCAAGGGGCCCAGCAATCACTTCCCTAGCTTCCCACAGAGTTCTAGGGTACACCTGATCAGGTCCTGTGCGATTATCCACCTTTATAAGTTTTAAGCTGTCCAGTAGCTCCTCTTCTGTAATATGGACATTTTTCAAGATGTCGCTATTTATTTCCCCACGTTCTCTATCTTTCGTAACCTTCTCCACAGTAAACACTGATGCAAAATTCCTGTAAAGACTCCATCCCATTCTCTCAGCTCCTCTGTCTCCGTCGCATATGTTCCGACGAGCCCAACTTCAACAAGGGAGCCTCCAAAATGTCCACTTTCTTCCTCAACCGTGGATTCCCTAGCAGCATTGTTGACAGAGCCCTCAACCAGGTCTGACCCATCTCCCGCACTTCTGTCCTCACCCCTTCTCTTCCCTCCCACAACAGCGATAGGGTTCCCCTTATCCTCACCTACCATCCCACCAGCATCCACATCCAAAAGATCACCTAACGCCATTTCTGCCATCTCCAGTAAGATGCCACCACAGACACATATTCCCCTCCCCTCTCGTCTGCCTTCTGCAGGGACCATTCCCTCCACGACACCCTGGTCCACTCTTCCTTCACTCCCAACACCCCAACACAGCCCCACAGCACCTTCCCCTGTAACTGGCGAAGGTGCAACACCTGCCCATTTACCTCCTCCCTCCTCAGTTTCCAAGGGACCAAACATACCTTCCAGGTGAAGCAACACTTCACCTGTACTTCCCAGAATCTAATCTGCTGCATTCGCTGCTCACAATATGGTCTCTTCTACATTGGGGAAACGAAGCGTAGTCTGGGTGACGGCTTCACAGAACATCTACGTTCTGCTCAAAAAACAGACCTTGGGCTTCCAGTTGCCTACCATTTGAACACATCATCCTGTTCCCTGGCCAACATCTCTGTCTCTGACTTGCTGCAGTGTTCCAGCGAAGCTCAGCACAAGCTGGAAGAACAACACCTCATTTTCCGCTTGGGGACCCTGCAGCCCTCCGGACTCAATATCAAGTTCAATAATTTTAGGGCCTGAACTCCCCCATGTCCCAGCCCCCCACCCCACACACCAGGCCTTGTTACCACATAGCCTGCCATTACACACCCCCTGTTGTTAGTCACTAACAGTCCCCATTAACAACTATTCACCCTCCCAGCCGGATTGTTATCACCTTCTTTGTCTATCCTACTGCTCTTCTCTCTCTTTGGGCTCTATCCTATCATTTATTCCCTACCCCATCCCCCTCCCTATTTTCTGCTTATAAACCAATGTTTTCCCAGTTACCATCAGTTCTGAGGAAGGGTCACCGGACCCGAAACTTTAACTCTGATTTTTTCCTTCACAGATGCTGCCAGACCTGCCGAGCTTTTCCAGCTACTTCTGTCTTTGATGCAAAATACTTGTTTAGTATCTCCCCTATCTCCTGCAGTTCTACACATAGACAGCCTTGCTGATCTTTAAGGGGCCCTATTCTCTCCCTAGTTACCCATTTGTCCTTAACGTATTTGTTAAATCCATTTGGATTCTGTTTAAGCCTATTTGCCAAAGCTATCTCATGTCCCCTTTTTGTCCTCCTGATTTCCTTCTTAAGTATATTCCTACTGCCTTTATACTCTTCTAGGGATTCACTCGATCCCTGCTGTCTTTCCCTGACATATGTTTCCTTCTTATTCTTAACCAAAATCTCAATTTCTCTAGTCATCCAGCATTCTCCACACCTACCAGCCTTGCCCTTCACCCCAACAGGAACATCCTGTCTCTGGACTCTTGTTTTCTCATTTTTTGAAGGACTCGCATTTTCCAGCTGTCCCTTTACATGCAAACATCAGCCCCCAAGCAACTTTTGAAAGTTCTTGCCTAAAAATGTCAAAATTGGCCTTCCTCCTGTTTAGCACTTCAATTTTTAGATCTGGCCTCTCATTTTCCATCACTATTTTAAAACCAATAAAATTATGGTCACTGGCCTCAAAGTACTCCCCCACTGACACCCCGGTTACCTGCCCTGCCATATTTCCCAAGAGTAGGTCAAGTTTTGCACCCTCTCTGGTAGGTACATCCACATATTTGAACAGAAAATCTTGTACACACTGAACAAATTCCTCTCCATCCAAGCCCTTAACACTATGGCAGTTCCAGTCTATGTTTCGAAAGTTAAAAGATCCTCCCGTAACCACCCTATTATTCTTACACATAACTGAGATCTCCTTACAAATTCGTTTCTCAATTTCCTGAGGTAACAAGGTGTACAGCTGGATGAACACAGTAGGCCAAGCAGCATCAGAGGAGCAGGAAAGCTGACGTTTCAGGTCTGGACCCTTCTTCAGAAAATCATTCCGCTTTCCTGCTCCTCTGATGCTGCTTGGCCTGCTGTGTTCATCCAGCTCTACACCTTGTTATCTCAGATTCTCCAGCATCAGCAGTTCCTGCTATCTCTTCTCAATTTCCCGTTGACTATTGGGGCGGTGGGGGTGCCTAGAGTACAATCCCAATAAGGTGACCATCCTTTTCTTATTTCTCAGTTCCACTAAAATAAACTTTCCTGGATGTATACCCAGGAATATCCTCCCTAAATAGAGCCGCAATAGTATCCCTAATCAAAAACGCCAGTCCCTCTCCCCTCTTGCCACCCCCACGCCCTTCTATCCTTCCTATAGTATCTATAGCCTGGAACATTAAGCTTCCAGTCTTGTTCATCCCTGAGCCATGTCTCTGTAATTGTTATGATATCCCAGTCCCATGTTCCCAACCATGTGCTGAGTTCATCTGCCTTACCTGTTAGGACTCTTGCATTGAGATAAATGTAATTTAATTTATAAATCCTACCTTGTTCTCAGCTTTGTTCCTGCCTGCCCTGCCTGTTTGACTTAATCCCTTTCCCAACTATACGAGTCTCAGGCTGATGTCTTTCCTCACCATCTCCCTGGGTCCCACTCCACCTCCCCACCAGTCCCCTTAATAGTTTAAATCCTCCTGAGCAACTCTAGCAAATCTCCCTGCCGGTATGTTAGTCCCCTTCCCATTCAGGTGCAATCCTTTCTCCTTATACAGGTCGTTTCTACCCCAGAAGAGATTCCAATGATCCAAAATATGAATCCTCCCCTGCACCAGCTCCTCAACCACACATTCATCTGCTCTGTCCTCCTATTCCTACCCTCACTAGCCTGTGGCACTGGGAGTAATCCAGATATTACTACCATCAAGGTCCTCCTTTTTAAATTCTTGCCTAATTTCCTGTATTCTCTCCTCAGTCTCGTCCATTTCTCTTCCTATATCATTAGTTCCAATGTGTACAACGACCTCCTGCTGGTCCCTCTCCCCTTTGAGAATATTCTGCACCCTCTCCGAGAAAGCCTTGATCTTGGTGCCAGGGAGGCAACACACCATTCCGATGTCTCGCTGTCAGCTGCAGAAACGTCAGTCTGTGCCTCTGACTAGACAGTCCCCTATCATAATCAATCGCTTGGAACCTGACATACCCTTAGTTACTTTACAGCCAGTCTCAGTGCCAGAAACCTGGCTGTCAGTGCTACATTCCCCTGAGAATCCATCACCCCCTACATTTTCCAAAACAGCGAAGTACACTCACTATTGAACAGAGAGCCATTGTTTAAACTACATGAAGAGTCGGAAGGAATTTGCATTTGTTCTCCAGGTAGAAAACAGAACTTTGGTTGTAACCTGATAACGAATAGTTCTTTTAAATAACCATGTTCCAGACATGTGCATGTGAATAATCTTTATATGCACCTGAAGGTTCTTGCCTCACTGCTACTTCAAAAAGGATATGGGAAGTCACTCACTAGCCTTCACTAGCCACTAAATACCTTAAGCATATACATGGTATATAAAAGCCAAACATTTGCTGTCCACTCCAAGAAATTCTCATTTATATGTTACCGTGGCAGTAGATCAACAGTGTTTTAAAAGCAAATCAAATTGGTAGCCCTTAATGTTATGATCTCTGAAACCTGCTTTAATATTACCACATTTCCTATACATTCCACAGGAAAGCAAAATCCAGGCTTGTTTTCATTGCTTGGTAATCCAGAGAACTATCTCAAATGCCTTCATGACAGCAACATCTCTTTAAGGTTTACTATGACACCTGTATTTGTAGAAGCCACAAATAAACTCTGAAATATCAAAATAGCTGCTTGCTGAAACACAACATACAGAGGGACCTTGGGTTTCAAGTCCATAGCTCCCTGAAAGTGACTGCACAAGTAAATAGGGGGGAGGTGATGGCCTAGTGGTATTAACGCTGGACTGTTAATCCAGACGCTCAGGTAACGTTCTGGGGACCCAGGTTCAAAGCCCACCACAGCAGACGGTGGAATTTGAATTCAATAAATATCTGGAATTAATAATCTAATGATAACCATGTTGATTGTTGGAAAAACCCATCAGGTTCACTAATGTTCTTTAAGGAAGGAAACTGCCATCCTTACCTGGTATGGCCTACATGTGATTCCAGACCCACAGCAATGTGGTTGACTCTTATCTGCCCTCTGGGCAATTAGGGATGGGCAATAAATGTTCGCCCAGCCAGCGACGCCCTCATCCTGTGAACGAATAAAGAAAAAGAAGGCACATGGCTTGCTTGCCTTTATTGCTCGGGGAATTGAATACAGGAGTCAGGATGTCATGTTGCAGCTTTATAAGACTTTGGTTAGGCCACACATAGAGCATTGCGTCCAATTCTGGTCGCCACATTACAGGAAGGATGAAGAGACTTTGGAGAGAGTGCAGAAGAGGTTTACCAGGATGGTGCCTGGATTAGACAATATGAGCTATAAGGAGAGGCTAGAAAAATTCAGGTTGTTTTCTCTGGAGCGGCAGAGGCTGAGGAGAGATTTGACAGAAGTCAATAAAATTATGAGATGTGGAAATAGGGTTAGTGGTCAGAATCTTTTTCCCAGAGTTTAAATGGCTAAAACTAGGAGGCAGGTATTTAAGGTGAGAGGGGGAAAGTTCAAAGAAGATAAGAGGTGCAAGTTTTTTTTTAAACACAGAGTGGTAGGAGTGTGGAAATGTGCTACCTGAGGTGGTAGTGGGGCATATACAATAGAGGCGTTTAAGGGACTTTTAGATAAGCACATGAATATGTAAGGAATGGAGGGATATGGACCAACGGCAGGCAGAGGGGATTAGTTTAATTTGGCATCATGTTCGGAACAACATTGTGGGCTGAAGGGCCGGTTCCTGTGCTGTATTGTTCTATAAATCAAAGGTTTTCAGGTGGAGATAGGAACACAAAATGATCAGCCATGGTCTTTTTGGATGAATTAGCCAGGATCTTAAAAGATAAAAGGACATTAATGCATCAGATGGGTTTTTATGACAACAACATCAGTGACAGGGTCATTATTAAACTGAATTTTAACTCCAGATTGAAATTTCACCATCTGCCACGATAGGATTTGAACATATGACCCCTGACCTTTAATCTGGGGTTCTGCATCACTAGCCCAGTGATATTATTGCTACACTCACGCCACAAAATCAGATTACGTGGACATTGCCACATTGCTGTTTGTGGGATCTTACCATGTACCATGTTTTCTACATTACAACAGCGATGACACCTCATTGGCTGTGACTGCTTTGGGATGTCTTCAGAGAGTTGCTGGAAAAATTGCATGTTTTTAATTCTGTTCAGAACAGACCAACACTTCTCGCTTACCTGTTACAATCCTTGTGTTGATTCCCAGTTTGTTGTTTGAGGGTATTGGCACATCTTTCATAAACAGCTCCTTACAGATCCGTAAGGAAGATCCATTTTTTACATCTGTGTCATAGGCGTAATTCCCAACAGTCATATTCTGTAGCTGCAAATACTTGGTGGGAAAGTGCATTTAACTAAATATTTATAACAAACACTGTGGCACAAAACATAAAGGAAAAAAAGGACAAAATTCAACATTCTCCATCTTTTGCTAAAGGCACCTTACCATCTGACAGAATGACTGTTCCGAAATGTTCCAATCTATAAAGCTGATGTTGTCAGTGAAGGTTTCCTCAAACAAAATGTCTATTGTGTCTCAGGTTTGCTGCAGTGAGTGCAAGCTGGATGCACAGCATCTCATTTTCTGCTTGGGGACCCCGCAACCTTTGGACTCAGTATTGAGTTCAATAACTTTAGGGCCTGAGCACCGTCTGCTCTGTCCTTTACCCACCTACACACCCCAGGCCCTGTCATCACTTTCAGCACAGCCAATCCATTTTCACCCACTCATTGTCGCCATTATTAGTTTTTCTCCATCTCTGGTTTACTATCAACTGTCCCTTTGTCTGTCACTGTCTCTCTTTCTCTCTGGGCACAGCCTCCAGGGTAGATAAAGATAAACAGCATTCAGGAGAGATAACAAGGTGTAGAGCTGGATGAACACAGCAGGCCAAGCAGCATCAGAGGAGCAGGAAAGCTGACGTGTCGGGCCTGGACCCTTCTGTGTTCATTCAGCTCTACACCTTGTTATCTCAGACTCCAGCATCAGCAGTTCCTACTATCTTTCAGGAGAGATGTTAGGAAGCAGTTCTATACATAAAGGGTGGGAGAGGTTTGGAACTCTCTTGCAAAAACAGCATTGGATGCAGAATCAGTTATTAATTTTAAATTGAGATTGAGTTAGGCCACAGATCAGACATGATCTCATTGATTAGTGGAACAGGTTCAAGGGGCTGAATGGCCTACTCCTATTCCCATGTTCCTATACACTCACTCCTCTTTGCCTGCTCCCGGTCATCAGCATATAAATAACAGCCTTTTCCGAGCTACTGTCAGTTCTGAAGAAGTGTCATTGGACTCTAAACATTAACTCTGTTTCTCTCTCCACAGATGCTGCCAGACCTGCTGAGTTTCTCCAGGAATTTCTGTTTTTTGTTCGGAATTACTATTGACACTTCAGTGATGGTTATTTCTCATAACCTTTCAAGTGGGGCTGATCCCCCTGTGAACTGTTTGATTATCTATTTGAGAGAATAATTGGGAGCTGTATTGAGGCCAGTCCTTATATTATCTCAGAATCACAGACTGGAGACAGCAAGAAGGAGGCCATTTGGCCCATTATGTCTGTGTTCGCCCTCTGCAAGAGCAACTCACCTCAATACAATCACATGAGGGGGATGGGGGTAATGCCAATTTTTGAGGCAGACTCGGTGTCAGTCTCAGGACTCCAACACTGAGTCCAAAAATCAAAACAAAAGAATATAAAACATTCCTCTAGCACCACCTCCCCATCACCCCTCACACCACCTTTCTCTATCCATTCTCATGATCATCTCATATCCCCAAGCCAACTTTGTTGCCTTGCCATGCCATACCTACTACAATCCACCAGCCATTCCCCCATCACCTACCATGGCATCCTGGGTATCCACATGTACACAAGCACATTGGGAAAAAAATATGTAGTTCTATTACTCAAAGTTCTACATCACAGACTGCAGTCTGTTGAGAAATGCATTTCCATTCACAGACACATTTTGTCTTGAGCACTTTGACACTATTTGACAGATCTTCAAAATCTGGACAGTTCTAAAGGGTTTTGGTATCCCTTCACACACAATCTTCTTCACCATTAACAATCCCAAAGAGCACATAACCCCACCTCCCCAGCCCCAAAAGGGGGTTACTAACAGCCCTCCTGCAGACTACCCCTGCCCCCACCCCAAGGTGTCCTGGGAACATAGCCACAGGGATAGCTCCAAAAAGGCACACTTACTATTCCGGTAAAATACACTGAGAACAAACTTCCTCTTCCCCGGTCTAATCTCCACACTCCAGAATAACCCTGATGCTAACCCAAACATTAATGCTAGCGCTAACCCCAAACCAACTTCAAACATCACAGTCTTCAAAACCTGAAATCAGCAAAGCAGCTGGTCATTTTAAAGAACACCTACATCGCACCCCTGCCCCAACAAAATGGGGGATGTGGAAGGGAAATGGGGTTTAGGATTTCAAACATCTGCCATCATTTCTGCCAAGGCAGAGGGTCTTCCTCATGGCAAAAACCACAGCCTTTCTCTAATTATAGTCAAATCCCTTTCTTAATGTCCTGGTGTCTAAAAATGATCTGTGCACTTTAACTCCCAGGTCAGGTTGGTCCTGCACCCCCTTTAGAATTGTACCCTTTCTTTAAAATTGCCTCTCCTTTTTCTTTATGCCAATATGAATCATGTCACACTTTTCTGCATTGAACTACATCTGCACTGCCTCCTTCCTGAACTGTCCCCTTCCTGCACTGCCCCCTTCCTGCACTGCCCCCATATTGTAATGCCCCCTTCCTGCACTGCCCCCATACTGCACTCCTACCAGCCTGCCTGTGTTCTAACACAAGAGCAAGGAAGAAGAAGCCTGTTCTGCCATCCAATAGGTTCATGGATGATCCGATTTCAACCTCAATTCTACACTCCTGCATTCTTGCAACCTATCACTATCCTTTTCCCCTTGATGGAGAATCAATGACAAGGGAGCATAGTTTTAAGGTAAGGGGCATGAGATTTAGAGAAATAAGATAAACCCATAGGAGATATACAGCACAGAAACAGACCTTTCAGTTCAACTTGTCCATGCTGACCAGATATACTAAACTGATCTAGTCCCATTTGTCAGCATTTGGCCCATATCCTTCTAAACCGTTCCTATTTATGTACCCATCCAGATGCCTTTTAAATGTGAAGTCACATGCCTGCATGTTATAGTCAAACAGGTTTATTTGGAGTCACAAGCTTTCAGAGCGCTGCTCCGATGTTAGCTGAATCATTTGATGAAGGAGCAGCGCTCCGAAAGCTTGTGATTTCAAATAAACCTGTTCGACTACAACCTGGTGTCCTGTACCTTCTGATTTTGTCCACCCCAATCCAACACCAGCACCTCCACATCGTGGCCTTGTAAATGTTGTAACTGGAGCAGCCTTCATCACTTCCTCTGGCAGCTCATTCCATACACACACCACCCTCTGTGTCAAGAAGTTGCCCCTCAGGTCCCTTTCGTGAGGCAAAACTTTTTCACCCAGAGGGTGTTGGGAATCTGGAAGTCATTGTCTATGAAAGGTGGTAGAGGCAGAAACCCTCATAACATTGGAGGAGTATTTAGATGGGCACTTGCAAATGCCAAGGCATACAAGGCTATGTGGCAAGTGCTTGGAAATTGGATTAGAATAGTTAGGGCGTTGCTTTTGACTAGCATGGACATGATAGTCTAAGGGCCTTTTTCTGTACTGTCGACCTCTATGGCTGTAACCTCCTCACAGGTCACAATACTTCCCATATTTTGCATCCGCAAATTTTGAAATTGTGCTTTTTACGTCAAAGTCATGAGCATTAAAATGGATCTAGAAAAGCAGTGATCCTAATTCCAATCCCTGGGAACCCAGTCTTTTGTCCAAGCATCCACCACTCTCTATCACTCAGACAGCTTCATTTCCTTACTGCCACTTCCTTTTTTATTTCAAAGGTATCAGCTCTGCTGACAAATCTATTACAAGAAAATCCTTTTAAAACTTTTGGAAGTTCGTGTACACCACATCAACAGTGTTCCCCTCATCAACCCTCTGAGTTTCCTGATGAGATAACTCAGTCAAGGTAACTGAACACACTTTATTCCCTACAATTCACCAAAGATCCTCAGACAGCACCTTCCAAACACATGACCACTTCCATCTAAAAGGACAAAGGCAGCAGATAAAAGGGAACACTGCCCTGTGCAAGTTCCTGTCCAATCCACTCACCAGCCTGATTTGGAAATATATTGCTGTTATTTCACGGTCACTGGGTCAAAATCCTGGAATTTCCTCCCTAAGGGCATTGTGGGCCAACCTACAACATATGGACAACAGTGTTTCAAGAAGGCAGTTCACCACCACAATCTCAAGGGGCAATTAGGGATGATACTGCTGCCGTCCCCTTGCTTCCTCTTCCTTAGTGCTCAGCCCTGCCTTTCCAAAGCCAGGTTTTTGTTATTGCTAAAACATCATATTCCCATGCAACTATCTGCACCTGCCACTCACTGCTGATATTTATAGCCTTTCCCACACTCTCAGTCGTATGCAGTAAACCTCTGTCCTTTTTACTTCCATGCCACCTGATACTTTACTAATTATTACACACATGCTATCTATCACTCTCTCCACATTTCTCCTCTTTAATGCTCTCTCCTGGCTCCCTTGCTCCTGATAGTTGGTTTGAATACCACCTGACCTTGCTATAACTGTGCGAGCTAATTGGTTCCAGTCCTGTTAGGGTGCATACCATCAGCCTGCACAGAGCCCTGCACTAACCTAGCCCACAACAGATAACCAGCCCATGGTCACACTGTCTTCTATACAGGGAGTGGGGTCACTGCGTGTAAACGTGAATTCCTACATCACACAATTAACCACACAGAAACATTCTTCTGTGGCTTTGAGGGCGTGAAGGCTTTTTCATGTATGTGCACATGCTTGTCTGGTGTGTGTGTGACAGAGTTATGGTGGGACAGTGTGCATGAGAGAGACAGGGTGTGTGTGTGTGTGTGTGTGTGTGTGTGTGTGTGTGTGTATGTGTGAGAGAGAGTGTGTGTGTGTGTGTGTGGTGGTATGTGCATGTATGTTTGCGTGTATATGTGCACGTGTGTGTGTGTATGGATTGTCAATCAATCAATCAATCTTTTAATCCCTAATCCCATTAAAATCATTTGGGTGCCTTATTATGTATTTTAAAAGGGAACCCTGACAGTTCAAACTGGAATTAGACGCATCCAGAAAGTTTCATAGTTTTTGCATTGCATGCTCATGGAAAAAAAAAACACAACAAATCAAAAACTGCAAATCAAAAACTGCAAATCAAACCCACGTTTAACACAAGTCAAAGGGCTGGTTTAGCTCAATACCTGGTTAATAGTGTAAAACATGCTACTGTAAACTTCTTGCTGGGTGTAGATGATAAAACTGCCGTCATTCTCATCTGGCCCTTGGTATCCTTTCAGGAAGAGGTGCTTAAAGGTGATGGCATTTTCTTCTTTGAAGGATGCGACAAGTTGGTTACTCAGACCAAAGAGAATCAGCTGAAAAAGACGAGATAAAAGTTGTCACTCAAAGTGATGAGAAACGCATGGATCCATCACAAACTAAAACTCACAGATGCTCTCTGACACCACCCTGTCCTTGTGCAAAGCAAGGACCCACAGTAGTGACAACCAGCCTCATTATCACTCAGGTTTTATGGATTTTGTCTGCTCACGTTCCTTTATGGGGCAAAGATCAGGATATCAACAACAGCAAGCATTTATATAGCACCTTTAAATGTTGTGAAATGTCCCTAGTTGCATCACAGGACCATTTATTTAATGGAACTTGACCCCGAACCACAGAAATACAGGTCAAAATCTGGTCAAATTTAAAGGAGCCTCGTGAAAGGGAGGTGGATACAGAGCGAGGAAGAGATAGAGATAGCGATTGAGATAGAGAGCTAGAGCTAGATGGAGAGATGGAGATGGAGAGAGAGGAAGAGAGATAAAGAGAGATGGGTGGCATGGTGACTCAGTGGTTAGTAATGCTGCCTCAGCGTGCCAGGGACCCGGGTTCGATTCCAGCCTTGGGCAACTGTCTGTGTGGAGTTTGTACATTCTCCCCATGTCTGCGTGGGTTTCCTCTGGGTCCTCTGGTTTCCTCCCACAGTCCAAAGATGTGCAGGTTAGGTGGATTGGCTGTGCTAAATTGTCCCATACTATCCAGGGATGTGCAGGTTAGGTGGATTGGCCATGAGAAATGCAGGGTTACAGGGATAAGGTAGGGGTGTGGGTCTTTGTGGGATGGTCTTTGGAGGGTTGCTATGACTCGCTGAGCTGAATGGCCTGCTTCCACACTGTAGGGGATTTTATGAAAGATGTAGAAAGAAGAAGAAAGATGGATATGCTGAGATTTATAGCGTGAATTCCAGAGTTTTGAGCCCTGCATGCCACAATGGTGAAGCAATGCAAGTTGGTGATAGCAGATTTGGAAGGTACAGAGATCTCATAAAGGGCTGCGGGGTTCAGGGATGCTCCTGAGATGGGAGGGAATAATGTCAGGGAGGGAGTTATAAACAAAAAAAAAAAATCAAGATATCATCCATCAGGGAGACAATATAAATCAGTGGGCCCTGGGTGGAAGCATCCACATTGGTCCAACCTTCCCTATATCTGCAATACCCTGCCCACAGACCCACGCAGGCACACAGACCGACACTACACTCTCTCACACACACACACACACACACACACACACACACACACACACACGGGCACAATTTCTGAAAGAAACGCTGACGTCAGATCTGAGATGAAACTATTTCCTGGTACAAGCTGCTTCCGCCCCCACCCCGACCAATCCTACAGTTTTTTCTTCAAGCCACAGCAACTTTGGTGAATTCCACTCTCTCACTCCGAGCATCAGGAGGCCATTCAGCCTTCCAGCAAGTTACAGCATTCGATTCAAACATTGCTGTTCTCTGGTTCAACTCCAGTGAGCCACTTGACAGGGACAGAAACTATCATAGGCCCTGATCTCATCAAACACAAACGGTGGGAAGAGAAAAGGAGAGAAATGTGCATTCCATCGTCCCTGATGCTGTTACAGTGTCAACTTTGGAAGTATTAATGAACACAGCATTCACATACAACATTTTGGCAAAGTGTTCTTTCAGATTTCACTCCTTAAAAGGCATAGCAATAGTTTGAGGATAACATGCTCACTTTTTGAATTCCTCTGCATCTGCTGAAGACCTTGTTTAGATTGTTCCTCAAACTCTGGCCATGCAATTAGCCCTCGTACTTAAACCGCTTTTAGCTTGGTATTGTTCTGGTGCATGTCCCTTGCAGATATGGCCTTCCTAAAGCTCACTAACTGAAACTGAACTCCCAGTGGGGATTGAGGGAGCAGCAGAGGCCTGGATACAAGGATTTAGCTACAGTCCTCAAAGTACAGATTTTTTTAACTATTTTTAAAAAAAGAGCCAGCATTTATTGCCCGTCCTTAATTGACAAAGTGGTGATGAGACAACTGTTTGACAACAATGGGGTAAGCTGCTGGGCCATTTCAGACACCAGTGGAACTGGAGTCACACATGGACTATGTAGTGGGAGAGGGCAGATTATGGGTCAGACTGGGGTAAAAATGGCTAATTATGGGTCATTTGGGATTAGTGAATCAGATGGCTCTCTTTTTAAAAGTCTGTTTCAGTAATTTTATCGTGACCATGACACTTTGCAGCTTCTTTGAGCATTTGAGAATTATTTGATTAATTAAATTTAAATTTCTCGGGACGTACCTCCGTACAGAGACATTAGCCACTGGCATACCAGTGCAGTAACATATCAATCAGTAAATACAAAGCCAGCCCTGGTTAGTACTGGGATTGTAGAAATACGTAACAACGGTTAGGGAAGGTATTGGGATTGTATGAGAAAAGTTATGACTAAGAGGTGCTTACTTCTAACTCTGCCTCAGTTACCAGAAGACTTCAATAAACACCAAGACCTGATGGGAAAACCACAAGAAATGATGAGGAAAGAATAATGGGAGCTCTGATCAAAATTACCAAAGTTCTGAGGGCAAAGGGACTGTACTAATGTAGAAAAATCACAGGGACAGCATAAAGGTATTTTTAATTCGCTAATTTCTCCGAATGTTTCTCTTTAACAGAGTAATAAATAAGGGAGGAAATCAAAGCTAATGAAAGCAAAATATCGCAGATCCAAACACAGAGATTGCTGGAGAAACTCAACAGATCAGCCAGTTTCCTCAGACAGATCCTCAGGAGCTGGTTGACTGGCAGTCAGACATCAACAAGGACAGATGTTGCTGGAAATCAGAAACAAAAACAGAAATTGCTGGAAAAGCTCAGCAGGTCTGGCAGCATCTGTGGAGAGAAATCAGAGCTAACGTTACCCCAGTCAAGTTCTGAGCAAGGGTCACTGAACCTGAAATATTAACTCTGTTTTCTCTCCACAGATGCTGCTGGACCGGCTGAGTTTCTCCAGCAATTTCTGTTTTTGTTGAGGGTAATGAGTTGTTCTGCTTTCTGATTGGCGTTGAAAGTCAGCTTGTCACAAGGATGTATTCGTTGGCTGACCAATATTTGGAGCCTGGAGTAAAATCATGTGACAAAACACCCAGGAACAGATTTCATTACAGCTGCCAACGTTAATTGTGTTTTGAAGAACAGCTTCTGTCTTCAGCACAGAGTTATGAACCACAAAGGTAAGAGGCAATTCACCTGTTGTTGATAAAGCACTGGGCTTGGATTTTCCACAGCGTTGAGACCCATTTCATATTGTTTCAAACAGGACCACTAGATTCGAAATGTTAACTCTGCCTTCTCTCCACAGATGCTGCCAGACCTGCTGAGTTTCTCCAGCAATTTCTATTTTTGTTTCACATCGTTCCAAGATAGGCATTGACAGATCATGCCTTTCCTTTGGCTGGAACTGCCCCAGCTTTTCCAGGGACTGAGTCAAATCCAGAGATTGGCCAGCGTAGAGAACGAGCAAGGACTTGATGAGGCAAATAGAGTCCCCATGGTCCCAGAGGACTGCTCTCTCATTAGAGAGGGACGACCAGTGGGGGTTTAACCGGAGGGTCACCACGCCTCAGGCGAGGGGAGAGATTGAGAAGGAGAGTCCCTCACAGTAACCTCAGCCCGTGTGGGAATTGAACCCATACTGTAGGCATCGCTCTGCACGACAAATCCAGCCAACTGAGCTAAACCAATCAAGATAAGGCAACCAATATAGATGCAAATAGTGAAGGTAAAGATAGGGAAAAGAAGGCCATGGTGCTGGGTTGAAATGGGGTTGGGCGAGAAGCATGGATTGGATGGGGCACATGATCTTCATTTTATGTTGCAAGGAAGCATGGGATAAGTTCTTCATCAGCAAGGGTGAAAGGTTACCGGAGGGAGGCAGGAATGTGGAAATGAGATTACTGTCAGAGGGATGGGCAATAAATGCTGGCCTAGTCAGCAATACCCACATCCCATGGGAATGAATAAAAAATAATCAAACCAGCTGTGATACTATTGCATGACAGTTCTTCGTTTGTATGTTAATTTATAATAATAATTAATTAAGTGTTAACATGATTACAAAAAGAGTTGTTGATGCCTATCGTATCAGAATTGCAGAATGGAGTGGTTAATAGATGATACAGGCTAATTTCTTTGGTAAAGAGATAGCAGAAAGGTGCTGCCCCCAAGATGGAATTTAAAATTAAAGAAGGGACTTCTGGATGAAAGAGGAACAAAATACCATAAATATATTTATCACCACAGGAATTCAGAAAAAAAATACCATCTTAACTCAGAGTGGGGAGAAAGTAGAACTCATGACCACAGCAGATGGTTGAGGTAAATAACGGAAATGTGTTTAAGTGTAAACTTGATATACACAAGGCAAAGAGAAATAGAAAGCTCTGACAGCAGGGTGAGGTAACAACAGAGATAGTAGGAACTGCAGATGCTGGAGAATCCGAGACAACAAGGTGCAGGGCTGGATGAACACAGCAGGCCAAGCAGCATCATAGGAGCAGA